CTAAGCTGGTGATACTAATGATAGGAAAAGTACCTCAGGTTTAATATTTTTCCTTGGGTCAAGTCCTATTAGTTGGTGTTCAGAAAGTGGGAAAGTGGTTGCGTTATCTTCCTGTGAAGCAGAGTACATCGCTGCATGTGCAACAGCGTGTCAAGGAGTGTGGGTGAGACGACTATTAGCAGATTTGTTAAAAATTGAAGTTAAGAAAGTAGTTCTGAAGATTGATAATCAGTCCGCAATCGCATTAAGCAAGAATTCAGTTTATCATGAGAGGAGCAAACATATCGATACCCGATTTCACTACCCGATTCCATTACATTAGAGATTGTGTTGAATTTAGAATGATTAAAATTCAACATGTTTGCACAGAAGATCAACGTGCTGATATTCTGACAAAGTCACTTGCAAGATTGAAGTTCTTGGAGATGAGAGAAAAAATTGGTGTGCGAATCGTCAGTGAAGGACAACAAGCTTAAGGAGGAGATTGTTGTGTTAATCTAGTTGTCTCTAGAAATTGTTTATGTATTTCACATTTTTCCTGTGGATTAGGAGGTTATGAAAACCATTTTGTGGTTAGGCGGTTAGGAAAATCGTTTTGTGGTTAGTTATTATTTTCAAAAAAATGTGATGTGTAGTTATTTGTATTTGCTTATATATTTAAAAAAAAACCAGAAAATGTAATGGGTGTTAAAGTACTAAAAATTCCTCCATTTTTGTTGGCGTTTAAAGTTTGGCTTTGACAACCAACAGAGTGTACCTTAGAGAGGGAAGAGGTTGCATAAAGACGCTTCTCTGCGCGTAATTTGGTCGTGAGTCATTGATTTTTGAGGGAGGATATCACCAACTTTCTTTATGACTAGTCTAAATCCAAATAAGCTAAATACAATTTAAATGTGAAATTTTAAAATGCTAAAAAAATTACTAAGTTTTTTTTTCTTCTACCCAAATGCCTAAAATTAAAAAAAAAAAATTGAATCTAGCATATTTATATTTCTAATACTAACTATAATCAAACAACACTTATAATTGTGTATTTTTAAGCGATTTTATCCTTTGAATATACCATCCATGCTAGTATTACATTATTGACATATGTTAGCGATCATAAGCAAACATGCATCAGCAATGATAAGTAATACATTTTCTTAAATTTTAAAAAAAATTGAAGTTTTTTTTAAAATTTTATCTCAAGTCCTGTATGATAAATTTTAATGTCTCCTTTTTTATAGTTAAATATGATACGGAATTGGTTTTCCCAGATCACATTTGCTTATGACAATAGTTTAAAACGTAAATTTGAAATTTTGAGTAATGAACGTGTAAGAACTAAAAAATGAAGTATGCCTCCATATTGCCACTTGTTGGTGCAGGAGCACTTCACGCCACAACTTATTTAATTTATTGCAAGTTTCCAAATTCCAGGTGGCTGCAAGATAAAACTAATGACGGCATATTTCTAAAGTTTGTCTCTTCTGCTTGTTAACAGAAAGATGTCCGATGAAAGCAATTCCGGCATTATATATATGTAGAATAGGTCTTCATTAGAGTTCAGAACATCTCTCTTCAGCATTAATGGCGGACGAAGAGAAGGGCAATGACGAGCATAGGGAGGATGAGTACACAAAGGATGGAACAGTGGATCTCAGGGGACGGCCATTCCTTAGAGCAAAAGGAGGCGGATGGGCTGCAAGTTCATGCATTCTCGGTAATTAGTTTACATCTGAGCAAACTAATAAGTTTAATATTTATTAGTTTGCAAAATTAATTAAATAAACAAATTAACTAATTACAGCCTCAGATGCGTTGGAGAGAATGTCCTTTTTTGGCGTTGCGCCAAATCTGATTTTTTACCTCACAAATGTTCTTCATCAAGACACTGTAACATCTGCAAACAATGTCACAAATTGGTTAGGAACTATAATGATGACTTCTGTCCTCACTGCATTCATTGCAGATTCTTATCTCGGACGGTACCGAACTTACATTATCTGCTCCTTCATCTACCTTCCGGTTCGATCCATGTATTTCTTGATTAATTGTTCATGGTCACACTATCAATACATAATTAATAAACTTGTATCATGTGCTGTGGCAGGGCATGATCTTTCTAACTTTAACAGTCTCGCTTCCAGCTCTGAGACCACCAGCTTGCGATTTATCCAGCCAGGAAAATTGCAAAGGGAATTCTCAAATAAGTATCTTCTATTATGCGCTCTATATTATGGCTTTTGGGGTGGCAGGATTGAAGGCCAACTCTGCAGCCCTTGGCGCCGAGCAATTTGATAAATTTGATCCCAAGGAACAGGCACAGAAGATCTCCTTCTTCAATTGGTGGACCTTTGCCATCTCACTTGGCAACCTCTTAGCCACTACACTGCTAATATATGTCGAAAATGATGTTAGTTGGTCACTTGGGTACACAATGGCCACAATTTTTTTGGCCATTTCCCTATTGGTTTTCGTGCTTGGCACTCCACTTTACAGGCATAAGCTGCCTTCTGGAAGCCCTTTCACCAGAATAGCTCAGGTCGTGGTGGCAGCCATAAGAAAATCTAGTGTAGCACTCCCTGATCAAGATTCCACTAATGATCGCCATGTGCTCTCAACTTCATTAACGCTGAAGTTTTTTGACAAAGCCGCTGTAAAAACTAATAGCAGCAACTCAGATAGTCCATGGATGTCCTGCCCAGTTTGTCAGGTGGAGGAAACAAAGCAAATCATTAGAATATTTCCAATGTTTATGGCGACGATTATGCCGAGTGTGATGATGGCTCAAGTATTTACAATCTTCGTCAAACAAGGCACTGCTTTAGATCCAAGAATGGGGTCTCACTTCAAATTACATCCAGCCAATCTCTCTGCCGTCTACATGTTCTCCACTTTAGTAGGTGTTGTAGTCTACGACAGATTTTTGTTGCCATTGGCGAGGAAGCGCACAAACAATCCTCGCGGAATCACATTCCTGCAAAGGATTGGGATCGGATTAGTCATGCATATTTTTATCATGCTGGGGGCAGCGTTAGTAGAGAGATGGAGATTAAGTCGTAAGAGCAGCACTAGCCCTTCAACCATGTTTGTTCTCCTTCCACAATTCGCATTGATGGGGATAGCCGAAGTGTTCGCGGCCGTTGGCAAGATGGAATTCTTTTATGATCAATCACCGGAGGGCATGAAGAGCATGGGGGCTTCATTCTTTTACCTAAGCAATGGTATTGGGAGCTTCGTTAGCAGTTTCCTTCTTTCCACAGTATCGAAGGTCACTGAAAAGGACGGAGGAAAAGGATGGGTTCAGAATAACTTGAATTCATCTCATCTGGATTACTACTATGCACTTCTAGCTGGTTTGAGTGCGGTAAATCTGTTAATCTTCTTAGCCGTTTCTAAGTTCTATGTTTATAAATGTGTTACTGTAAGTTCTGAATCTGATCGGGAGAAGGAGGGCAGCAAGTGATGAATCAAATGCAATAGCTACGCGGGCTTGGAATTCGTCTTGGCTGCCCTGCTTCTTCTCTTGAAAGATTACATCCAACTTTGAACTAGTATTCTGTGTTTAAGGGATAATTATCGGACTGTGGACGGCTAGGAGGAGAGTGGGTCCCGCCCCTCTGTAATAATTTTCCACGTTTTACGTTCTTAATAGATTCCTTCAGAAAGCTACCATGATACCGATATACGATACCGATATACGATACCGATATAAGACGTTTTTTTTTTATTCATTTCTCATATTTGTAGACCGGTGGGAAAAGTAATATTAATTTAAACAGGTCGTACTTTGTGTTATCTAATTTTCTGAAAAAATAATATAATTATATAGAGAAAATATTTTAGGTTACATACATACCATATAGTTCTTATAATATATTCGATGCATGATAGAAAATTCACGGCGGTAGATTTTGGATTATGTCTCAGATTTGCACGAAAATTCAGCACACACTCAGTTGAAAGAAACAACCAGTAATGACACCACAAGTTTTTTCATGTAAAGTCCGTAAAAGAAAAAATCACGGATCTGATCCAATTATAAAAATCAACTATTGATTGAAGATTACAGAAATCCCGTGTCTCGCCGAAGGAAAATGTTACTAGATTTTCCAAGTCACAACGTTGACTGATGACGTCTAGTTGGTAATGATCGACATTGGTAATCGGTGGGCGACGATGGTTAGTGGTGATTAATAGTGAAAAAAGTGCTCGACGGTGGTTGGTGTTGTCGACAGCGGTCGGCAGAGGTCGACGACGATTTGTGGTATTCGATGACGGTCGGCAGAGATGGTCAGTGGCTGGCGACGGCCCGGGAAACCGCCGACTGTGGTCGACGACTATCAGCGACGATCGATGATGGTTGAGTTGTCGCCGGCAGGGATGGTGCTGGAGTTCATCTTATTCTCAAAACCTCAAGTTCTCTCCTAAGGCTCAAGCTCCCTCTTTATGAGAGGAGTGAAACCCTATTTAAAGTGTTTTGGGTGCAATTAATGCACGAATATGAATCATTTTAATCGAATGGTCCGAAAGGCTTCCCTCGATCAGATTGAGTTTGATGGACGTTTGAGTAATTTAATGGTGTCGGAATTGAGCAATGTTAGCTCGTTGGATTCTTCTTATCGAGATGCTCAATTAGACTATAAACTCGTCAGATTCGACATTTGTTTGACCTTACAAATGTGTTATGAAATCTTTCAATAATGGTTTAATGACCTGATATGAGCTTGATTTGACTCTGATTGGACTAGTTTTTACATTAATAAGTTCGTCTCATCAAGTCAGTCTTTTAGATCATAGGTTTCCTAAAATCGATGTTTTGGATGACTCATAATTAGAGTCGTGCAGTTAATGGAGAATTTATTGATGACATATCAATATTATATAATATTATATATGACAACTATTATATCACTATAATTCTTTTTTAAAAAAATTAAATGCATCTTCTTATGAAAACTTTTATATTGTGAAAAAAATTATAAATAAAAATATCAAATTTTAGTCGTTAGAGATATAAACACATTACAATTGTCGGGCATGCATGTTAACTTTCCAAGATATAACTACAAAATATGAAGTGGGTTGAACATATTCCTTTCCAATATGAAATGATTCTTAGATGATGACGTGGATATTTGCTTTTTAGTATATAAATTTTATTTTCTTTTAATGATCATCATAAACAAATTTGAATTATTTTATAGAGAGGAAATGAAAGCAGTTAACATTTATGGGTTTTAATTTTATTTTTTTAATGAAAGTCCAACGTTTTATTTCATTAAATAGAAAACATTAAAGTTGCTTGCTTTTTAGAGGTTTAGATCTAGTGAACTCTATTTGAAGGCTACATCGATCATACGACATTCATTTAAATCAATTTTGATTTAGATTATTACTTATTTGCATTGGGAAAACATCAAAAATATTGATAATTTTTATTTTTTTCTTTTAAGTAAATTTAAAAAATATGACAACGAGATGAAGATATTTTAAAGCTATGACAGAATAAGTTAATCGCATCCCTTAAAAAAGATTTCTCTTGAATAAGGCATCAAAGTGTTTGATTGGGAAAAGTCTAATAATGTTTTTGGGGTATTATGTGTTGTTTGAACATAATAAGAAGTGATATGCCTGCCATCAACAAATTTTCATCATTCACACAAATCTTGATGCATATCACGAATCTCATGGTGTGACACGAATCTCGAAGTAATTTTTTGAACAAGAACTGTTTAAACTTCGATTAAAGCCATCTAAAACTTTACTTTTAGCAAACTTATAGTCAAACTGATCAATTCAATGATATTAACTCTATGATATCAAAATTGGTCCAATATAAATCAAATCAAGCCCATTTCACATTGTAAAAATGCTTTTGGAAGCTTTAAGTTCATAATTTGAAGAGCAAAGAGAATTCGAAATCTAACATTTTTATAGTCAAATCTAGCATCTTATTAAGACAAATCCAATGAGCTCATAATCAGTCAATTCTAACATTAGTAATGCACTTAAAGGTCCATTAGATGCCATTAAATCGAGGGAATTTTTTGGGCTGGCACATAGAGTGGTATGGATTTATTCTTTATTTGTAATTTAGACTCTATAACTAAATTTCTACTCCCTCTTGAAAGTGGGAGACCTTGAGCCAAAACAAGACTAAAGCTTAGAGGAGGAGTTGAAGTTCAACATTGATTCTACACTGCAAATCCAATGAATACCTCCCACTCTTGCAGCCACAGACAACTGTCAACCACAACCCTTCGCCCATCATCGAACACCGTTGGCCGCCCCTAATTTGTTGCAACAAAACCCCTTTCAGAATCACAACATGTTTTGTGAAATTCTGTCGTACATTACAGAGTAACGAGACATCATGCAGAACAATGCACTCCACATATGGTGCAATGAATTCTCCCAATGATAGAGTAACAGTGCACCTTGAATAAGTTGCAACGAAACACTCTGATGATGGTGTAAAAATGTACTCTGCATACAATTCAATGAAGCCTCCCAAAGACTATATAATAATGCACTCTGAAGACAACAACCTCTTTAGGCTCTTAATGCTCTGCCTTTACAGCCCACCGCTATGTCCTACATAGTCTACAGCCCGTGCGACTCCTGACTTCGGCCTCTGAGGCCAATAGATGTCATCATAGTTCACTACTATGGTCTATGTGACCAACTACAACCTACTTGGTCCACTACTCACGTAGTGCCCAACTCCAGCCTCTGCAGTCTACATACGTCATCATAGCTCAGCACTACGAACTACATTACCAATTATTGTCTACTTGTTCTATAGCTTGTGTAGCTCCCAACTCTAGCCTATGCAGCCTATAGACATCATCACAACCAACAACTACATTTTTCATAACCAACTATGACCTATGTGCTCCACAGCTTGTACATCCCTCGGCTCCAGTCAGTGTGACATACAGACGTCATCATAGCTCACTACAATGGCCCACATAATCAGTTACGACCTAAGTGGTTCACAAATCGTGCAGCTCTTAACTCTAGCTCATGTGGCCTATAGACATCATCACAGCTCACCATTACGGCCTACATGACTAACTATAGCTTACATGGTCCACAACTCATATAACTTTCGACCTCGACCTGCAACATATAAATGTGATCACAACTTACCATTATATCTTATGTGACCAATTATGACTAACACACACTGCAGAAATTGAGTAAATTTACATTGGACTTATCAGAAAAAAAACGAAGGCAAATCCGATGATAATATATGATTATCTTCAAATTTTTGAATGTTTTACATCCATTTTTTTCGTGGATAAATGAGGGGTCGATAATTTAATAGATAATCTTAGGTCCATTCAACTTTATCTACATATGTTATTAGCATTGAATATCTCCGCTGGACAACTTAGGATGAGTCTAATATCCTTGGTGGATTTCTTTCAACTTTATTCACACATATTAATGCCATTTAGAAGAGGTGGGCACCATGGATTTATCCACCTAAAGGGTACAAACAAAAAACAAGCAACCTTAGGAATGGATGTGTCCCCATGGTAGCAGAGACATTACATCTCATCATCATTCAAAACTAGACAAGGATAAAAAAAAAAGATAAAAATTTTAATCAAACAAATTTGATGTTACTAGAAATTTAAAACCATTAATAGGTAAGTGAAATCATCACAAGCTTCCAAAAATAATAGCTATATCCCACACTAGTGGTGAATTACTTAAAAGCTCGATATGATAACTTAAAATCTCCCATCCATACTAGACACGAATAGAAAAGATAATATCATAATAGTTCTAAAAATAAACCAGAATAGAAGTACCAGGAATACTAGACTGAATATCAATTCTTAACATATGGTAAACTAATCTTATCCAAGTTGATCAACCCCTTAAACTTTTTAGGAAGATCAATATATGAGTAATCCATTAATATCAACCCCAAGATTAGCTAGAGAAGCAGCACAAGTATTGCCTTCTCTATAAATATGAGATATGAAAAACTTAAAATTTTGTAATAAATATTTAATATTCTGAATAATATCAAAGAAGATAGATTTATAATGCTCAACAATACAGTTATCCACCAAAAGGTTATATATTGATAAAGAGTCCCCTTCAATCCAAATTTAAAGTAAGTGTAAAGCAAGAACAATTTAAAGGCTATATCTAATAACAACAAGCTTCATGAATTTAACAAAGGATTGAGGTAAGAGACCAATAAAAACAAAAATGGTAGAACCATCATGATTACGAAAAAGGCCTTCACAACCTCAAGCATATGATTTGACCGAACAATCAGTGTTAATCTTGACAATGTCTAGCCCCAATCTGGACCCAATTTTTTTTTTCTTAATTTGAAATATGAAAGAGTACATATGTTAAGACATATTATAAAGATTTCTCATAATCAATTTGGAATTATGTCGAACATGTCTACTGAGGAAGCTATACATTTATTGAGATGTTTGATAGAGAAGTTCAGAAAGAATAAAGAGGATCTACATATGATTTTTGTTGATTTAGAAAAATCTTACGATGAGATTTCTAGAAAAGAAATGTGGTTATATGACTTATATTCAAGTCAATAAGGATATGTATAATATAGCTGTTACTTGTGTTCGAACAATAGGAGGATTGACCGAATATTTTTCTATTTTAGTTGTATTACATCGGGGATTGGCTTTAAGCACATATATTTTTGCTTTAGTTATGGATGCTCTTACTGGATATTTATAGGAGGATGTACTTTGATGTATGTTTTTCGCTGATGATATCCTTCTCGTGGATTAGACTAGAGAGAAAGCTTAGGAAAAACTCGAATTATGGTGATCTAAATTGGATTTCGAAGGCCTTCATTTGAGTAGAATTAAAATTGAATGCATAAAATGTAATTTAGATATCTCAGTAATGGTGTTGAAATCATGGTGATTTAGAGTTGTAACTAATGAATGATCAAATTATTAAAATGTGTGAACATTTTAGATATCTCAATAATGGTGTTGAAATCACCAACCGCCCGAGGGGGATCAAGTGAGTTAGAAGATTATTTCATATAATATAACAAAGATAAACACCCAATCTAAATAAGAGTCATACACATAGGAGCATGCCATGCTAAAATTATTGTAGGAATATCTAGTGTTAACAATTTATTGATGATCATGCATAATCTAAACTTTTAAACAATTCTTCCAAAATATCCAAATTTTGTTAACTTCATTATAAAAAAAATTGTTAAATCCAAGAGCCATGCAAACTTGATTAATTTTTAAGAAAATATATTATAAGTTTTACATAAATTTTTTATTTTATTTTTAGTAGAACGGGAGCCAAGTCTCCTAACATAAAAAAAATAGTTAACCATAAAAATAAATTTTGTCTAGCGGCAGAAAAGCCTCTGTCATTAGGTTGTTCTCTACCATTCTTTTCTTTTTTTTTTATCTTTTTTCCTAGTTATCATTTTATACACTTCATTAGCAACCTCTTCATTAAAACGGAAAACGTCAATGAAATCACTATCCACATGTATATGGGTAAGGAAATTATCACCAAGGTGTCCTTTTTCTCTATTTTATCCTTCAACCTCATTAAAAAGAGATTCGCAAGATGATAGAAAATCTCAACCAATTTTAAAAAGACAATATTCAAATTGTCCAAAGTTACTTATGATCCCATCCTATGTTTGAAGAGAATTGTAGTATTCATCATACATTTGATAGTAGTATACATCATCTTCAGAAAATAAGTGTGGAGATATTCATCTTGTTGAGTGAGATCAGCTTATAACTGTAAGTCTTGTACAAAATACTGATTACAACACATGATAATTCTTCCACACTAATTGCGAACAAGTAGGGAGATAAATGACATTTTTGTACAAGCCCATAAATAGAGTTAAATTATTATTCATACATTGCATCATTAATGTTAAAAAAAAAGCACCAAATAAATAAAATCAGCAATACAGGTTATTTATATTCGAGGAAAGTCAATATGGAGAAGGCCATGCATCAATATATTTTATTTGTCTGGAAATATACGTCACTAATTTTTGTCTTAGAATTATAGTTTAACACTTAATAATTTTCTTAGGAAGATTCCTTAATAATCTATTTCTCAGTTATAATTAATACTTTATGATTTATTGTAGAAAGATTTCCATTACTTCAAAAGTAGTTCTTTATAATTTATTCGGCACCAACTCCCGAAAAAGCGAGAAAATAATAATAATTTGGATATTTTTTACTAATTTTGTAAGAAATTACATGCCCGGTCCCGATGAAAGTAGAAAGAACAACTAAATGTGGATTGCGTCATAATTTGGGATCTAACGGTTTAAGTACCAATGGAACTATCTCCTTCATCGCCCCAAACCTCATTAGTTTCTGCTTTCACTCTCCTCTGCAATGGCGGATGAGGAAAGGTGCAGCAAAAGAGATGAGTACACAAAGGATGGAACAGTGGATCTGAAGGGCCGAGCATGTCGTCGAGCAAAAGGAGGCAGATGGGCTGCATGTTCCTTCGTTCTCGGTACATTCAATCATTGCTGAACTAAAAATTACAAAGATTAAATTTTTATATTATATTAGCTGGCTAAAGTTTAATTTTTTTTCAAATTTGCAGTTTCTGAAGCTTTAGAGAGATTAGCTTATTATGGCATCGCATCAAATCTGATTCTCTACCTTACAGATGTGCTCCATCAGGGCACTGTAACATCTTCAAATAATGTTACGAACTGGATGGGAACTGTAATGATGACACCTATTTTAGCTGCATTCATTGCAGACGCTTATCTTGGCCGATACTGGACTTGCATAATCTCCTTTGTCATCTACTTCCTGGTACTTAATTATGTACTACCATTCCCCATCATGATTTAATGTTACATATCAAATATATACATATATATTTATAATAGATTAGATTAATAACACATTTATAAGCATGAAATGAATTAATGAACTATGGCAGGGCATGAGCCTTCTGATCCTGACAGCCTCGCTCCCCGCTCTCCGACCACCGCCCTGTCATTCATCCAAAGATGAAGGCTGCAAAAATCTGACGCAGCGGTTTCAGATAACCCTCTTCTATTCCGCGCTCTATACAATTGCTTTTGGGGTGGCAGGATCGAAGGCCAACTGCGTGGCCTTAGGCGCAGAACAATTTGATAATTTTGAACCCAAGGAACGAGCCCAAAAGATGTCATTTTTTAACTGGAGGGCCTTCGCCATCTCCCTTGGGAACCTCTTCGCCACCATCGTGCTCATCTATATCGAGAGTAATGTGAGCTGGTTACTTGGATATGCCATAGCAGGAGCAGCTTTGGCAATTTCGATACTGGTCTTCATTCTTGGCACTCCTCTGTACAGGCACAAGGTTCCTTCTGGTAGCCCCTTCACCAGAATAGCACAAGTCTTGGTGGCAGCAACAAGAAAATGGCGGGTACCCCTTCCCGATCAAGATTCCATTAATGATCTCCATGAACTGGACTCAGAGCTGCATTTGAAGCAAAATAAGAGCAGAAATAATCAGACAATATTTTCATCAATTCTAAAATTTTTTGACAAAGCCGCTGTAAAAACTAACAGCAGCAGCAGCAGCAGCTCCTCAGATAGTCCGTGGATGTTTTGTCCCTTTTCTCAGGTGGAGGAAACGAAGCAAATCATCAGGTTATTCCCAATGTTTATCATTACGATTATGCCGAGTGTGATGGTGGCTCAGGTGCTCACTCTATTCATCAAACAAGGAACCACCTTGGATCAAAACCTGACCGGGCTTCACTTCAAATTACCTCCAGCCAATCTCTCTGCAGTCTTCGTCCTCTCCATCTTAGTAGGCGCGGCAGCCTACGATCGATTCTTCGTGCCAGTGGCCAGAAAGCATACCAACAATCCTCGCGGTCTCACGTTCTTACAAAGGATTGGAATTGGCTTAGCCATGCATATCATTATCATGCTGGGCACATCATTAGTAGAGAGATGGAGGTTGGGCAGAGCGAGATCTCTTCAGCCTCCTCCAAATATTTTGATCCTCCTTCCTCAGTTTGCATTGATGGGGATAGCAGAAGTGTTTGTGGCGGTTGGTAAGATGGAATTCTTTTATGATCAAGCACCAGAAAGCATGAAGAGTTTGGGCGCTTCATTCTTCACTTCAAGCTTTGGCATTGGGAACTTCATCAGTACTTTCCTTCTTACAACGGTAACGAAGATCACGGCAAGGGATGGAGGAAAAGGATGGGTTCAGGATAATTTGAATTCATCTCATCTGGATTACTACTACGCATTTCTTGCTGGTTTGAATGCCATAAATCTAATGCTTTTCTTAATTGTTTCAAAAAATTATGATTATAGAAGCGATGATGCAAATTCTGCACTTGATCAGGATAAACAAGGCAGCTAATGAGTAATAAAAGCTTATTAATTATTGCATCGGCTTCAAATTACATGCATTTTATTCCTTCGATCTCTGAACTATTATTCTGTGTATTAAGTACTAATTAATAGATTCGCTCAAGTGTTTTATAATACAGATATGACATCCTCTTTTGGTTTTATTAATCCAATAGTCTTATGTATGTTTAGACTAGTACGAGAAGTTATATTAATTTAATCGAGTCAACGTAGGTATTATTAGGTAGAATTACAACTCAAAGTTTGAATTTGAGTATAGATTTCTTAAAAATAAATAAATAATTATGATTTTTTTTTTATGGTTTCTGTCAATGTTTGCTCATGCCATCATATAATTTTCTTGTCCTATTTTAATCGTCATCTTTAAAATTTTGAAATATTTTTTTTAACATTTATGGGTTTGTTTTTTTTATTTTTCTTAATGAAACCATTCGTTTTCTCATTCAATATAAAACATTGATGTGTGCTAGAAAATTCGCGGTGTTAGAGTAATTGATTATCGTCTTAGCGTTGCGCGGGGATTCAGCACACACTTAAATGAAAATGAATCAAAATGTGATAACACCGGAAGTTTTTACGTGGAAAACCCATAATGAGAAAAACCACGGGGCCTGACCCAGTTGTATTGATGATTACAGATGTCCCTTTACGAGTTTTCTACGTAAAAACTTCTGGTGTTATCACAACTTAGTTCATTTTCATCTAAGTGTGTGCTGAATCCTCACGAAACGCTAAGACGATAATCCATTACTCTCCGCCGCAAATTTTCTAACACGCATCAAACATAAAATTGGAAAGTAGTTAGGTTGTTGAAAATTAAACCTGATTTTTTGGCTGGTAAAAATTGGGTTTTAATTGAGCTCCTAATTTAGAATAGTCCTTTGAAAGTTCTATTGACTCATTTTATGGAGAATGTTTTAAAGAATTCTAGAGGTAGATTTTAAAAGAGTGTTTAATGAAAATTTGGAATATGTAATTAATGAATTTTGTAGAAAAGTATTCTAGAGAGTCAATATCAGACATAGGATTGAAATGTGTTGACACGATCCTAATAGGGATGTCAATAGTATAGATAGTTGTGACTTGTTTGAGATTGTATCAAGAGCAAAAAAATTGAATTAAAAGTGACTTCAAGTTTTGTTCCTCTCCTTTCTTAGTATTCCTCAAGACTTAATAAAATTCTATTTCCAACAAAGTGATATTAGAGTCATAATAAGATTCCTTCTACATACAGAGTGGCGAGCAACTGTATGATTCTCATTCAATTCCCAACACTCAATAAGTGCAAATCGATAATTGGAGCATCAAATTGAAGGCCTTTCTTGGACTGTAAGATGCATGAGAATGTTAAATTTTTATTTATGGCTCACATTTATTTTAAGAACTTAAGAGATTAATTTTGATAATATAAGTTATTTATTTTATTAACTCATAACTTATGTCATAATAAATGATAACTCAAGTTATTTGTTTTTATAACTCGTGATAACTTAAGCTATTTATTTTCTTAACTCATAACTTATGTTATAACTTATGAAAACTTATGATATTTATTTTTGTAACTCATTATAACATAAGTTATTATTTTTTTTAACTCATAACTTATGTATCACTTATGATAACTTATGATATTTATTTTATATCTCATGTAATCCCTAAAATGAATAAGGGTTACTAACTTATGTCATTGATTTTAATAATAAAAATCAATTAATTAATTAAATTATCATAAATCCTATTAGTTAGTAACCCCCTTCATGGATGGTGGTTAAATAGATCATAATTCAGAGAATGTGTCCTCTCTCTTCCTAACACACTCCGTACATTTCCCTTCATCAGAAAATACAGAAAGTTTCAAAGAATTAGAGAGAGAAACTTCATCTCCTCAAAATCAATTTTTTTCAAGATTAAATCTTATAATTATGAATACAGATATGTATTACTTTATTATGAATATGTAAAAATCATGAATTTAAAAGATCTTGGCTATCATGTATTTTTAGAATTTGTGTCATAAAGTTCAAACATGAATTTCTAACATGTGGTATCAAAGACTTGATTACTAAATTTATGATTTTTCATATAATCTATAAATTTATTTATGTTAATTGTATTAAATTTCCACTGTGAATTAGATATTGAATTAGATCACTAATGCTAAAGTAAATTGATGTGTTTGATATTTTTTTATGTCGATGTTATGTTTAATTTGTTAGTCACAAAAGTGACCAAATTAGTAAGTTTAATAGAGTTTAATAGACATCAATAATAGACATCAAATTAAATAAATTCAATTACTCACGAGTATGTGATGTTTGTTATGAAATAATTTAACATTATATCATGAAAATATTAAAATTTATTGATTATAAAATATTTCTGAATCGCCCAAAGGTTGATGATTTGTTTTATAATATTTGAATATAATTGTAGTCCATTTATATACTTAGTTAAGATATGTTTATATATCCAAAGATAATAGACATGTCTAATTGAGTATAAACAATTATCAATTATATTAAATTTAAGTCAATCATCAATTATGTTTATTATTGTGTATTGTTATATCACCCATAGGAGATTTCAATACATTATTATTATTATAATTATTATTTAATTTGATTTTATATGAATATCTATGTAAGTTTAATTTTCGAAGCATTAATGTGCGAACATGTTTTATTTATTTGCAGTAACTACTCTCGTTTCTCTTCATTCGCAAGCTACATATGTTCAAACTTTCAATGGGCTTAATTTCTCTAAATGATGTGAGCAAGTCCAGTTTAACCTTAGTGTTCTGGATCTTGATTTGACACTCACAATTGAGAAACCCTTTGTTCTTACTGATTTTATCAGTGTTGAGCAAATATATTTCTTTAAAGCTTGAAAAAAATTGAACAGATTAAATTTAATATTTATGTGAATGACTCTAACAAACAATATAAAGTATATATTAAAAAAAAAAAAAAAAAGCTACAGTTCCCGCCTTCTTTGGTGTCGTAACTGCGGGAGGGAGTTGGTTGTTATTCCTTTTAATATTTTTATTCCATCCAATTAATACGTAGCAGAGATAGGAAGGCCAGTGAAGGAGAGAGCAAAAAAAGTCCTTTTTTGTTCTAGGTGCTTGAGGCTTGGGGGGTCCCGCCATCCATCCTTAAGTGAAGAAGAAAAGTTGGATTTGTCTTCTTAAGTGGCCGCTAAAAGAGAATAAAGGAATTGTAGAAGAAGACGAGAGAAAGCGGAAAAGAAAAGTAGAGGAATTGCACGCATTGTTTTCTTTTCTCTTTTTTTTTTTTCTATTTCGGTTGGCTCTTCGCTCGAGAATTATAGGAAAAGAGATAAAAATTTATTTCTTGTAATCGTCGAGGAGGTCGACCGTATTATTTCTCGAGTAATAAATCTAATGCAACTCTTTGGACATAGGCAATTTGCCGAATCATATAAATCTGTGTATTTTTTTCTGCTGTGAATTTTCTCATTTTATTTTTTGTTTCATCGTCGATCATTCAATTTTATATATAAACCACAATATATATATTATATATATATATGTCATTCAACAAAGAGAAATGCCAGATTATTTTCGGCAAGAGGACTGCTATGTCTACTAAACAATGGATCCTAAACCTCACTAGTTTCTCTACCATGGCAATGCCTTTTAAGTATCTAGGGGTGCCTTTACTTAAGGGGAGAACCAAACTTACTCATTTTGATGAGGTAAACAAAACTACTTCAACATGACAAGGCTAGACTAACTCCTTTCTTTCTAATAGTGGCAGGATAACATTATTGAGAAGCATCCTAACATCCTTCCCTTCTTATATACTACAAATGGTCGTAATGAAGAAGAGCACTCAACTATTACAGGAAAGAACTTTCAATAGATTTCTGTGGGCAGGCCAAAGGAAGCAACCACACTAGGCAAGTTGGCAGAAAATTGCAAAACCAAAATCTGTTGGGGGACTGGACTTTAAAAGTCTCCAAGAGTTACAACAGCTGAGCTTATGTAAACTGTGGCTTAATTTTAGACAACAAAAGACCTTATGGTCCAAGTTCATGTGGGCTAAATATTACAAACATGCACATCCAAATCAGGTTTCCAAGAAGACAGGTGATTCCAGAATTTTGGCAAACCTTCTGAAGATAAGAACTCAGGAAAAAAACCTATTTATATGGGACATTGGGAAGGGGAAACTCAATTTCTGGTTGGACAGATGGTGCCCAGAAGATATCATTCATCCTCCAGCTGGGGAGTGGGATACAGAACTCTTGGTTGAAGACTGCTGGGAGGGCAACTCTTGGTCTGCTGAGTTTCTTAGCTCTTTCTTATATCACCAATCTGTTGAAAGGATTATTAAACTGCCATTTGACAAAGCTCGGGAAGACATAATAGTGATTGAATGTAAGCTCAATCAAAGCATCACCAAAAATATTTATCGCAAACTTTACCAATGAGAAAGAGTAGATTGGGGGTACTGTCGCTGGAATAAGTATCTCTCTCCATCCATGTCATTTTTTTGTTGAAGAATCCTCCATAAATTACTACCAATTGATGATATACTGAAACTCAAAGGTCTGAAGGGTCCTTCCATTTGCCATGTGTGAAAGGAGGATGGGGAATCTGTCAAGCATCTCTTCTTTGGCTGCAAATTCTCTCAGGAAGTTTGGAAGGCTATTATACAAACCCTGAAATTGAGACATTGCATCTTGAGTGGTGGAATATTTTTGAATGTTGGAGGGGCTAAGAGAATATAAAGTTGGGCCCAATACCTTTTATTACTGCCTAATTTATCTGGACAGCCAGAAATTAGTTTCTTTTTGGTGACATCCCAGCTGCTCCATCCAAGGTGGCTTCTAATTGCTTAGCTTTTGTTACTAAGCTCATTCAATTAAAGAAGTTCCCCAATATCCTCAAAGCTGTTGTTACTACTGGCCAAAGAAACTTTTATGTAATCAAGGTATTCTGGAACAAACCTCCTTTCTTTATGA